TACATAAAGAATTTAAGTACTTCCTCTATCCTTTCATGTATTACTGGGTTTTCAGTAGTATGTGTAATTGTTATTTACTTGTATTTTACTCCAGCATTTCCACTTTATTCCACAATTTTACGACTTATTTTCAGAGCAATTTTCCGTAGCTTTAGGTAGTTACTAAGGGATGTACACATAATCGATCAGTACTAGTAACCCATTAATATGATATATGTGGGCTTTAATACACTAACATATCTGCATAATCAGTACTTCCAATGCAAGGTGAAGAGCCGAATACTTGTAGCACCACTTTATTGTTGTCTTTATTGACACAGACGCCGACTCAACATCACGCAACACGTGATCAACAGTTAGCTTCAGAAGAACAGGTCACATGACTCATCCAGGGCGCGTCCACGTGCGGCCAATGAACGGCCCGGCGGCATTGCCGGAGCGTCGGGAGCGCGCAGCAGGTCACAACGTACAAGTGAAACGAGCCGCTCTCCCGTCAGTGACCCGGGGCGTGAACGTGGATGTTTCCCTTGCTCATCCCGTGAACCGCCACGAAGAACTCGTTTTTAGTCCATGCTCGCACGTGCTTGACGTAATCTATCGCCATATTAAATGCTCTGTTGCCCCTTGTGTTTGAGTGGACGAGCGGCCGGCGAAGGACTGACAGGCGGCTTCTTCTTTTTGTGTGTGTGCCAAGTGATAGACACGAGATACCGAGGCGTGTTCACGTACCGCGGATGTCCCCGGGAAAAAGAAGAAGAAGGGGCTTCCTCTCGCTTCACGTCGCGCGTGGATGTGACTCTGTGCCTCCGGTCGGGTTCGGGACCTGGCGAGTTTCGCGGGTCTCTCGCTAGCTGTTGAACGGCCAGATGGACGATTGAACAATGGCCGTTGAGTCCTTTTAGTTTTGCTCGCGTGCTTTAACCCGAAGGTCTGTGGTGCTTTGGGTTTTTTTTAAAGGAAAAAAAACTGCGGACATTGAACGCATTTTTTTATTTTTGCGAAGCCGGCGTTACGCTGGTTAAACCCGCAGGATCAATTCAGGCGCGGCCAGCTAACAATGCGGATTACCTCCGGACCCGTTTGGCTTTGTGTCAATACACACTGTTTGTATAAAGTTTGAGAGAACACCTGCTGGAAGAACACCCGGAACCGTTTTCTGTAAAAAAAATTCTAAGGCAGTCCCTTATTTTCATTGTCCCGGGGGGAGACGGTTCGGTGACGGGAGGTCCGGTTCCCGCATGTGCGCAGGCTCCCTGCTGTGAGACCGCAAACTGGCCGACAATCGAGCAACGGGGACCGCGATGGCCAACGACTCCGTACAAGTAAGTGGACGAAGGAGACCGTTGCTAGTTTAAACCACTGGCGCCTAACGTGTGTGTGTGTGTGTGTGTGTGTGTGTGTGTGTGTGTGTGTGTGTGTGTGTGTGTGTGTGTGTGTGTGTGTGGGGGGGGGTAGTGACCCCTAGAAACGAAGCCATATCCGCATGGACCCCCTCCTCATATCACATGGACTCATTTTTTCAGCCCGACCAAGAGGGACTTTTTCTTTTCAAGATTTGCATTCGCCCGAGGGGGGCCTGGTATTCAGTATGGGGGGGCTGAACCATTTCCTTTATCATTAGGTAATGTAATCTGCCCAAAAATAAAAAGCATCTTGTGACTTGGTAACTGCTGGTTTAAAAAATAAATTACCAAATACAGATCCATTGCACAACAGGTGAGAAATGACTAAGTGATGTCTAGATTCAAACCCAGGAAAGCCCCACTTTAAGGTCCCTGGTGGCTTCTCAAGGACCCCCCCCCCCCATCCCTCCATCCCCCCACAGGAACCACCAGCTGCCCAGTTGAATTGTAAATGGATAGCTTCTCTTGTTAATCATTTATGCTGGGACGCTTTCCGGGTCGTGCAGCGAGTGTTGCGTCGTGATGTTGGTCTCACTTTGTGTCCTTAAGGTGTTGTGGGTGCAAACACAGGGGAGTTACAGGCACATTGAGCTTTATTTTGTTATGAAACGACACGCTCCACCTTCCCAACTCCCATCAGGTGTTACTCATTCGAGGGAGCATTAAGCTGCTGGCTTTGTGTGCCGAGGTGAATAACGCCCTCAATTTCCTAACGATTCTTGAGCTTTTTTGTTGTTATTCTGCTCACAGGACTAAAGCTGAGACTGACACTTTAGTCTGGAGCGACACTGGTTAAAAGAAGCAAAGTGACATACAGGCGCTCGTTGGACAAGTTGTTCTCCGAAGAACGTGCATATTTAGAAAGGTGTGTTTGCGCTGAAAGGTTTACACTTTCCTCTTCTTGGGTATCTCCACATGACTCACTGAGTTCATGAACCAGACTAAAGGCCTAACTTGTTTTCCCACTTCCTATCCATCAGCCGCTTACGGATTGGTTTTGATACGTGAGGATTCAGACGTGGTGGCCTGGTTTTCTGTCGTCTCCCTGTTGCTCGGGAAGTGTTTCCATGGGATTCTTACGCCTTTTGTTTACTACAACTAGGTGGAGATTAGAAATTGTGGGTGTTTTTTTTGTCCTCTGGTCGGTTCACAGCTCTGGTCCGGTATGAAATTCAACCTCCTGGAGCTGAAATAGTCAATCGAATAATCGACTAATTTAAAGAAACCTCAGTTGCAGGCTGATGGCGTTTGTCTCTGACAAGGAAGAGGAAGTGTTGAACTCCTGCACGTGCACGTCGTAAAATGTGCCACAGTTTGTGCTTAATTACTCGAGTGCGGCGTGTTGACTGGGTGCCATTTTTAAATGCTGCGTGCCGGGTTAGTTTGCCACTTCAACGAGGATTAATTCTAGCTTTGGTGCCTTTAATGTGTGTGTGTGTGTGTGTGTGCCCCTCCCCTCCTCTCAGGCGAGACGGCTGGGTCATTAAAGAAGTAACAGAAATCCCCATAAGGGTTAAACAACCAGGGTTTGAAAACCGGTGCCAAAACGGATCGCTGCTAAACTTGGCCCTTGCCTCGTTAAGTCACCCCGCTCCAATGACCAGCCGGGGATACGCGTCACGGGTTGAATCAGTAACCCAGGGAGGCGGCTCCACCGTGCCACGCTGCTCTCCCAGTGATGCCAGTCAATGTTGATCTTCTCCGCACCCTGAAAGCACTTCCGGTGGTGTGTTTTTCTTCTTTGACCCTGAAGGACAAGTGGAGGTCAATGTCCCTTTTGGATCTTTGACCTACGGCGGGAAACACGAGGGGCCGCTGTCGTTTGGTGCCGTGTGGACAACACTGAAGCCATTACCCCCCGTCCCCTTTGTCCACAGAATCTTTCTTGCTAGACCGGGCCTTTAGGTATTTATCCCCCCCCCCAAAGGTTCCAAGTAGATGTGGTGGATGTGATCACTTGAGGAGATTTATCCGACTGAGCAGTGCGCTCTGCAGCCCACATAAAGGCCGGACCCCCTCTTCTCCCACGCGCAGCAGCCCTCCCCAACACCTGTAAACGGCCTGGCATAGGTGACGTTCCTGGAGTTCCTCTTTAATCTTCCGTGACTGTGGATACGAAGTGGGCAGCGCCTCCCGCAGCGGGCCATTTGTTTGCCCCCTCCCCACAGGAAGACTGCATTAAACGGCCCCAACAGGAGCCTGAACCCGCCTGCGTCACACTTCCTGACAAAGGTTAGAGGGGAGATGAGGGAGGACCGGTGAGGGGGAGTGTCGCTGTGTTGTTGCTCCGTACAGTAAACTGTAGGGGTTTCTGTGCCTTTGCATATTCACTTGACAACTGAGACGAAAAACATGCATACATGGGCAAACATTTTCATGTTCCCATGTGCACACAATCCAAAACACACAGATGCAACAGCTGACACACACACACACACACCGAGTCAGCCTCCTAGGAATGCATAGGAGTACTTCCAACAAGCCTTACCATGACGTAAGGAGACCGCTATTCGACAAAGGAGGCTTTTCTCCGCTCTGCCCTGTGGCCATGTAAGCAGACAGAACCTACAATGAAGCTCGGAGGAACCGTTGAGCAGAGAGAGAGAGAGCAAATATTCTCAGGCATCTGTTTGATAAAACAATGTCTTCTAGATCATATGAAAAAAAAACACCTTCATATCTAGATCATCATATGATGGCATCCCTCACATGGACAATGCTGTTTTTAGGCTTGTAACACATGATCATAAGCTGACATTGGCTCCACTGACTGTGTGCTTTATGTTGTGGCTGGACCCTCAAGGGAATTACTCCATTTATGAAACAGTGAGACTGTGTGGAATGGATTATAGAAGAGACGGGTCATATGGAGTCCAGCAGCAAACCGTCCCCCGTGCTTCTCTAAAATAGTTTGCTTTTGAAACGATCTAACGTGTCTGAATCAAAGCCCTTTTCAAGCACTTCTGATTTCCACACAACATAAAACAGTTGAAGTGGACCAGTGCAGAAAAGTCAGCCGAGCCGGAGTGTCTGGTGGAAACGAGGCGTCTGTTCTGGCACAGCCGTGCGTCTGTCCTCCGATGGACTCGGTGTCTCGGTCACAGAAGCTCGTCTGTGTGCCGGTCTCTGGCTTGGATGGACTCTCTCTGAGGGGCCGCTCATTGTTGAGGTGCATTTGTCATTACAACTTTGAAGAAACGGCATAGTTTTTAGTTTTTTTTTCAGGAGGAAGGTTTTATAAATCAAATAATCCAAACACTCTGCAAACATCTGACGTGGAAGCTGAGACTCTGCACTTTCATTGCCTCGCTGTTGTGATTGTGTCGTGAACGCGCCAGTATAAATGTAAGTCGGAGGACTAGAATTCGAAGAGGTTTTGCTGACGAGGCGTTCCGCTGCGTTGTTTAACTCTTGGAATGTCTTTTCTTTAGATCAGATCACTGCGGCTGCTTAACCCTAACCCAGCTCGCATGTGGGTAAGGCGTTTTGCTTCGGGCCCCGGGGGGTGGAGGGGAGGTCTAAAGGGCATTGTGCTGATGATGGGGCTCTACAGCCGCAGCAGTACAATAGGTTGTATTGTCTGCCGGATCACATTCAGTTCACCGCGGGTTCAATTTCTTGGTCCTAGCTGGTATGTTGTGTGACCACACCCTCGCCATGCCAAGCTGCAGGCCCCCACCCCCAACACGCCGGGGAGGAAAGCCCTCGTGTGTCTTATTTGCCAGCTGAGGGTGTTTGCTTTGACGCAACCTGCAACGGCATGGCGTGTTTTCAGAGGGTTCGTGCCTCCGAGCTGCCGTTTCTCTCTTGCTGTTCTCCACGTTTTTTTTTTTCTTTCTTTTTTTCTTCCAGCTCTCGATCACATCTCGCCTTCCCTCTGTGCAAACATCTCCTAAATCCCATGACCTCATAGCGATGTACCCCTGCATTCCTGCCTCGGATCGACCCCGCCTTCCTCCCTAGACACACACACACACACACTCACTCTGACAGACCAGCGGCAGCGCCCGGCTGTCATCACACCATCGAACCCCACCAGCTTTCTGGGAGGGCTGGGAAAATAGGATTTTTCAGGGGTCACTTAGCTGAAACATAACTGCCACAGACATTTTCCTGCCCCGCTGTTCTTCCCGCAAAGCAGTTTGTAGAGTCTTCATGTCTGCCTCAGATTTTTTTTACCATCTCTTTATTTTCTGTTTATATAACGGCAGTTATTCCTCACGTTCCCCCTGTCACACGGCCCGCCACCTGCAGCAGCCATGTGATCTGACATGCCTCGACCTTTGACCCCTTCCTATTATGGCAGTAGCCAGCCCATAAAATGGACAGTGTTTTTTTTCTTCTTGTGAACGTCCTTTTGCAAATGGACCAAGTGAGCCTGGGAATGCTCTGCGTTTAACACTTCTCACTGAGCCGTCACCTGCTTTCAGTTTGCATTGAAAGGTCAAAGTTGTTTGTTTTAGTCTCAGGGAGGGTTTTCACTTTGAGGAAACATGCTCTTCCCCTAATAGGACAAAAAATTTGAGGACGTTGAAGCAGACGTAATATAGTTAGAAATGATCACTAGGCAGCATGTTTTTCATAGGGGTTTAGTTTGTGTCTTTACATCTGTATTCCATTGCTTTCAAAGAGGGTTTGATGAACAATATGTGCACGACTTGGCAAAGTGCCAGTTACCTCCTCTTTTCTAAATGGAAAACATTTTGACCACCTCCCTCCTTGCCGCTCTGCAACTGTGAAATGCTGTCATCCCTCTGCACACAGAATGGTGATTTTCCCCACAGCGGGGGGGGGGGGGGGGGGTCGGCTGGTAAACGGGTTCATGAACAAAACGGGATGAACCAGGCGCGGTTCCCTTGAGCTGCAACCAGAAAGCACGAGCCGGTCGGGGGCATCAGTCTGAATTAAAGCTAAACTAC